ATTGAGCTGATTTGAAATCAACTCCAAATAATCTATACTGGAATTTATTCTCTCAAATATTTTTCTTGGTTTAGAAGTAAGTGGAAGCAAATCACTTTCCAAATTAGAAACTACATCTACAGTACCTTTCAATCAGTTCTAATTTTTGAGGACAAGGTAGAGCTGATGCAATTTTAATATAGTTTAGCAGATAGTGAATATCACAAGATCTTCTTTTGATCCCTTAGGACATTTTCAGTTAAAAACTTGATGGTGTTTATGGTAAAGTGTTGTAAGAGGGATTCTAGCACATAACGGAAAAGAAAATAACAACCCACTATGCTGCCAAGAGCTGGAATTAATCTTTTAAGCAATTCAAAAGAGCATCAGAACTTGAACCCTAAAAGACAGCTCAAGTATTCTGAAAAATGCTACCTCCACTGCAACAGTCCACTTTAGTGGGTCTTCAGTTATTTTGGTCACCTAGATTTGACTCATTCAAGTCTCAGAAGTAAGTTTTCACGTAAGTTGTTTTATTTTTCATGTGTTTGAAATTAATCGCCACTGAATATTTCTTTGAGCCGAAACGTTGAACAGTCTGCCGGGCTGTGAGCACAGGAGGGTCACTCTGGGAAAAGGGTGTTTAATGAATAACTTTGCAGTAAAAGGCCTTGAAAACTTCCTCTAAACATTAGACCCGTGCTTACTTTTGGAAATACATTAACAGCCTCCAGAAAGCTGAGATGCTGGCAACGCTGTTAGGCAGACTTCAGACATCCCTGACATTTGAAGAGCATCACAAGGTGTGCGAACACTCCCTCCCCTCCTCAGCCCTGACCCTGCTCCTTGCCACCCCCGCGCCCCCACCTCCACCCCCAGCCGGCGTTTGGAGATCATGTGGACTGGAGTTCTCCTGGAGAGAAAGATTGATAAAGCAAAGCCATCGGAGTTATTTCCTATGCATGAAATTGATTAAATGCTTCACTAAATGGCTTATAAATTTGCTTCTCATATTTCTGTCACCCACTGAAAAGATTACAGAAACTCTGCATATAACCATGTTGTATACAATACCAAATTACAAAAGGTTGTAAAAACTAATGTTTTGTTTAAAGTTTTGAGCAGGACCATATGCCTTCAGTGACCTTGAGTAAGCTATTTTAATTCAAAACATTTCAAAGAATAGAGAGGGGAGAAATATTCAACTCCATAACAAACCAGACAAGCGGTGGGTAGACCTCGGTTAACTCTGCTGAACTTCTGTTCTCTCCTCCAAGAGCAGAGAGTGAAGCCCTTCCCTCCAGCCAAACGCCTTGTAGTTGCAAAGCTGAGAAACGCATATGGTGTCAACAATATGTTTACAAAGGAAATGAGAAAAAAAAGCCTTTGAGACCTCCCAAAGTTGAATCCACTCTATTATTTTTAGTTCAGAGACACAACCTAGTGAGTCCCGTGTCTTGGCCAGACTTGCGGACTATGGAGAAAAGATGAAAAATGTGAGCATGGGTGATGGGATTGTTTTCTGTTTAGGCTTCTTGTTTGTGTATATTTCATCTCTCCCCATCTTTCAAATGTCAGCTCTCTTCTTTCTTCCATCTGAGAGTTTCTCCCAACTCTTATGTCACCAGAGGGGGACGGGGTGGGGTTTTTAGCAAAGAAGCCACTGGTAGGCAACCACGTGACCTATGGATGTGACTTGGGAAACTAATCCTTTGCCCAACGTGGCCTTAAAAGTACCTTCACTTCTACAAGAAAGATGATATTCTTTCATAACATTTATAAGGCATCACGTCCCCCCAAGAATTAGCATTTGGCATTAATGCACAGCTCTGGAAAGAGCTTCAAGAGGAGACGTTTATAAGCAAGGGTGTGTTTAAGATCCCTGCTGGGCTGACCTTTGTGGTACACACCCCCAACCTCCTGTCACCTTCATGAATAGCCAGAGGAGGAGCCAAGATCTGCCATAGCCACCACCATCTGGACCTCAGTGTGGTGGGAAACAGGTAGGGCCTGCTGTCAATGGGATGGGCTTCCCAGGGGGCCCGGTGCTAAAGAATCAGCCTGCCAATGCCGGAGACTCAGGTTCGATCCCTGGATCAGGAAGATCCCCCAGAGGAGTAAATGACAACCCACTCCAGTATTCTTGCCTGAAAAATCTCACTGTCCATGGGGTCGCAGAGTCGGACACAACTGAGCAAAGACACACCTCAATGGGGAATGGGGGGAAGAGTGGAGGACAGGACTTTCCAACACCAGCTTAGGTACACATCTGCTTTTGTGTGACATTTCTGGGTACATGCAAGGAATTACGATGGAACTGCCCCTCATGTGTGAAAACACAGTGTAATCTCAGTAGTAAAATCCAGTTGGTTCTTTTTTTTAATGAGTACCTGTTCTGGGAGATATGCCAACAACTCAGAGATGATTTAACCAGACCATCAACAGCTGGAAAACTTACTTAACTCTTTGGTGATGGCTACATGAACCTTCTTGTTGGCGTGAAGCCACCACATAATTAATGTTGATGCCAGACATATAGGGTTTAATAAATTATAACAAAGAGACTCCTTACTATACAACACAGAGAATAACTAGCTTCTCCCCACAGATGTGAGCCATCTTAGAAGATGTGAATGCATGCTTCCTAAAGGTTACTCCCTGGAACACTGATTCTACAAGGTTATCCTTTATAAACCTGGAGGACAGCATGGTAACCCTCTCCAGTACTCTTGCCCGGAGAATCCCATGGACAGACAGGCATAGCAGGCTAAAGTCCATAGCATTGCAAAGAGCGGGATATGACTGAAGCGACTTAGCAAGCATGCACACACACATTCTTTACAAAAAGGGTTTTGTTGATCAAATACATTGAAGTGAAAGTCACTCAGTCACGTCTGACTCTTTGTGATCCCATGGACTATACAGTCCTTGGAATTCTCCAGGCCAGAATACCGGAGTGGGGAGCCTTTCCCTTCTCCAGGGGATCTTCCCAACTCAGGGATCAAACCCAGGTCTCCCGCATTGCAGGCAGATTCTTCATCACCTGAGCCACCAGGGAAGCAACCCTCTTTGGGAGAATCGTACCACAGGAAAGTGTTAGGACCCCTGTTGCAAACAATCCTATCTATTCAGTGTACCTACACCTTCTCACTTGACCTAAGATGTTTTTTATTTTTTGTATTAAGCTTAGAACCTGGGAATTGCTGTTTGTGGGAAACACTAATTTAAACATACTGCATATCTGGCAGACTGGGCCACCTTGTTTGAAAGTTTAACAAGTTCTGGAATGCCCCTTCAGTAAGACTCTCCAGCAAAATAAGAGAAATCTCTAACTTCACTGTAAGAAGGCCTCCTCCTTGCCATATACCAGCCTTGAATCATGCACATTTTCCTCTCCTAATTGGCACAGTTGCGTGGCTGTATAGATATATAAAATTTTGGCTCTGTCGAGTCTCAGTTGCAAGATACAGGATCTCTCCTTGAGATCAGTCTTCCTTTCCTTCTCCAGTTGTGGCTCAAAGATTCCAGAGCCTGCAGTTTCAGTAGTTACAGCACCCGGGCTTAGTTGCCCCAAGGCATGTGGGACCTTACTTCCCAAAGTAGGGATTGAACCCGAATTCCCTGCATTGGAAGGTGGATTCTTAACCACTGGATCACCAGGGAAGTCCTTATTTTTTTTTTTAAGTAGATCTGACTAATCTACACAAGCACCTGTGGGCACTGAATGCCCAGGTGAATATTGCTATTCAGTCACTCACTCATGTCCAACTCTTTGTGACCCCATGGGCTGCAGCATGCCAGGCTTCCCTGTCCATCACCAACTCCTGGAGCTTGCTCAAACTCATGTCCATTGAGTCAGTGATGCCATCCAACCATCTCATTCTCTGTCGTCCCCTTCTCCTCCTGCCCCAAATCTTTCCCAGCATCAGGGTCTTTTCCAATGAGTCAGCTCTCTCAGATGGCCAAAGCATTGGAACTTCAGCTTCAGCATCAGTCCTTCCAATGAATATTCAGGGTTGATTTCCTTTAAGATTGACTGGTTTGACCTCCCTGCTGTCCAAGTGATTCTCAAGCGTCTTCTCCAACACCACAGTTCAAAAGCATCAGTTCTTCGGCACTCAGCCTTCTTTAAGGTCCAGCTCTCACATCCATACATGACTGCTGGAAAAACCATAGCTTTGACTAGATACACCTTTGTCAGCAAAGTGATGTCTCTGCTTTTTAATATGCTATCTAGGTGAATATTAGTTGTATTTATTAGTAAATAAATCCTTCACATGCCTTGATTTTTCTTTCTAAGATTTCTTATAAACCCACTTCCCTGTTCTATTTTAGATATAAGCCACAAGCCAGTGTTTCTCCTTTCCTTTCTATAATCAAAGTCTCTCAGACATCAAGATCATTCAAGAAAACTCAGTGGTGTGTGGGAGTGAATGATAGTGACACTAATTATGGAGAGAAGTTGGATCTGCCCTCATTTAATTTTCTTTTAAGTAAACCATTTGCACACTTCAATCTCCTCACTTGTATGGGTAGAAAATCACCCATGAGGTGCCTGAGAGGAGATGGTTGATAGTGCTAGGTGACAAACCCCTGGCAAGCATCTTGGCTCGACAGCCTTGGCTCACAAACTGTGAGGAAGCATCAAAACCATCTGGAGGCTGTGTTTAAAAAAAACAGGTGTGGGGCCACACCTTCAGAGTCTGATTGATTGAATGCCTGTACACCGAAATACCACATTGCTCCAGAAATGCGTCAGCGGGTCTGAGCACAGGCCTGAGGATTGGCGTGACTAAGGAGCGCCCTGGCGATGCTGGTCTGGGACGGCACTGGGGAAGTTCCAGCTGCACAATAACTCTGCAACTTGCCTGATCAGCTACCTCGGGGTGTGATTGCAAACACCAACAGCAGCCCTACCCCAGACTCCAGAGATGGCATCTCTAGGAAGGAAACCTGGGAGTCTGTATTTGTATGATAATAAACGCTGCAAAGCCATTCGAAACATCCAGGCCTGGACTACCTCAGCCAGAGAAGTAGGGCTTGCCTTTCAGATCAGGGCCCTGGGTCTTGGGCGCCCCGCCTGCCTGGCCCGCGGAGGAAGCCGCCTCGGTGCCCGGGGCCTGTTCAAAGTGCACGGAGGCCGAGGACCCGTGAATGCCTCGACCAATAACTTGTCTGGTAATTGGTATATTGATTGCTAATGTCATCATGTTTTAGTATACATAAACCCCTCACTCTATTCCACAGCCCCCAACAATCCCCAAAGTCATTGTTTATTCATCGTGACTCCCAAACTGGCCCTTGTCAGTTCCCGCTGGAGGGCTTGCTGATAAAAATCACCAGATGATTGGATGCACACATTCTTAACATGACTGACTCATGACATCTCAGAGGGCAGTCTGGGAGCCTGTCATTACAGTACAATACTTTCCTTTCTTCCTCTTATCTAGCCCCAGATGACTTTGAGATTTTTATTAACTCATTAATGACTGAAGATGTCATTAGAACCAGTAGAAGGGTTTGTAATTTTTTTTTCTTTCATTCTTTCCTTCTTTTATTGAGAATAAGTGCACAATTTGCTCCTAGTGAGAGGGGCAAGGGAGGGGGGGATGGGGTCATAGATGAAACAGCCAAGGAGAACCCAGTGAAGAGAGCCTTTAACTTTATTAGAACTTGAAATCTGATTGACAGGCACGAGAACTGAACATCTGTACACAGAAAAACCATGTTGCTTCAGAAATACACTGGGTGAGAAAAATGGAGCGACTGGTGAGGAAATAGCAGCTCGTAAAATTCAGCAATTTCTATTGTGTGGTGGGACCAATCGTTCCAACCTATCAGCTAAATTAAAAAAAAAAAAATTCAGAGGAAGGCTACTGAAACCTCTAAATGTTTCTTAACCTACACATTCATTAAACCATATCTTGTTTCTGCCTGCCTTTAATTTTCACATCTGCAGAATTGCTTTTAAAAATCAAATTAGATCTTTTGAAGGCACTTAAATTGCAACAACCTTATGTTTTTTTATATACTCTTGGGTTTCAGGCTTTTCATCTGGGTTGTGTGTCCAATTAATGGGATATCTCAAGGAAGCACTAATCATTTCGAAAACTTGAGAATCTGAAAAGAAAGCAGACTATTTTCATTATAACTGATTGGATTGAGAATAAGCTACAGAGGAAATGTTCAATAATTATGATAACTTTTTTTAGATGAGATCACAAAAAAATGTCAGTCACATAAGGTACTCTTCCTTGCAATGAAGTCTTTGAAGTTCGTTTCAGTGGATTCCTCTTCGGGTTCAGCCTCGGGCATGTCAGAAGGCTGCTTAGAGAGTGGGTTTACACTGATTTTATCACGCTGGGTAATTCACTTGGCAAAGCAAACGTCTATTACTCAATGTATCTCATATGTTATTAAGTGTTTACGAAATTTTACTATTGTCAAAACACATTGTAAATTAACAGATTCTCATAACACATGGAAACTACTCCACAGAAGAGAAAATTGTTGTCTGAGGACCTAAAAAGATTTCTACCCAAGGAAACTGCTGTCAGTAAACTATGACCAAGATTTCAATGTGCCTGAAGCCAAGTTTTATTCTTAAATCACCTAATTATATCTTTCTGTATTTATTTGCCCGGTGGAGAATTTTACTCATTAAATGTTATGCTAAACAGAATAATTAGTTAATATCTGCAGATTAATTAAATACAATAATTTTCTCTAATTCAGTAATAACCATATTAATTTTTTTTAATTGTTCAACTTTCTGTACATAATGCCAAATACCCAGATAAAACCTGGGAGAAAATGAGTTAAAAGCCCAGATGTTTTTAAACATCCAGATGTATGGTGTCAAGTAAACAAAACATCAAGGTTTTTTACTATTTTTTTTCCCATTTTCATCCAGATGTTTGGTGTCATATAGACACACTTTTAATCTGTTCAGTCGTAATCACAGTGTTCTTTAATATCATTTACCAATATTTGGATCCTTTCTTCACCATATTATTTCTAAAATTTTTGTTTAATTCATTCATGGGGGAAAACACAAAGAAGTAAAATATTTAACAGCTAGAAGACTCATTACACAAGACCACCAGCCAGAATGATGCCCAAGTCTTTTTGTTGCAAAACACTTTCCATCTGCATTTTTAAATGAGGAAAGACAATTCAGCTTAAATGGTTGGAATGGCAACTTAATTTTAATTGACAGGTACATGCTAATTTCAATTCTAGTAAGTATATAGGAGAGAGAACCCCAGGCTCTCAAGTGTAAATGATGGCCATTTTTTCAATGGGTTCCTTTCCCAACTTCCCAAATCCCAGAAGAGATGACATTTTAGGAACAATTTCTGCTCTGGTGACTTTGGGAATGTAGAAGCTCTGACCTAGGACTCGAAAGACTTGCCACTGAGCTTCAGCTCTTCCATTTTCTGACTGGGTTACCCTGACCTCATCATTTAAGCTATGAGCCTCAGTTTTCTCTTCTGTAAAATGGGAATAATAACCCTTCCCTCAGTTAACCTGAGGATCTAATGGAAGAAATCTGGAACTGCAAAATGCTTCGCAGGTACAAATTATCATTAGTTATAAAATATTTTATAATTATTTTACTGTATTATTAATGTTTAAGTGGGGCTTCCCAGGCAGTGCTACTGGTAAAGAACTAACCTGCCAATGCAAGAGATGTAAGAGATGCAGGTTTGATCCCTGGATTGGGAAGATCCTCTAAAGAAGGGCATGGCAACCCACTCCAGTATTCTTGCCTGGAGAATCCCATGGACAGAGGAGCCTGGCGGGCTAAGTCCATAGGTTTGCAAAGAGTCGGACACAACTGAAGCAACTTAGTATGCAGTGTTTAAGTATTAATAGGTAAAATGATTGTCATTGTTAATATGGAATCCAGGGAAACAGTAAAGATAACCCACTCAAAAAGATCTGATTAACTATTTACAGTTTCCAAATTGTATACAGAAATGACTATAATTCTTGGGTGTACAAAACAACATCAGATTATATTACCGAATCCACGCTCGCTCTGCTTGCCTCACAACAGGCCGATGAATCCAAGAGACGAGGTGTCGAGGCAAGGAAGAGACTCTAATCGGGGAGCCAGCAGACCCAGAAGACAGCAGGCTAGTGCCTCACAATAACCATCTTATTGGGGTCTGGATGCCAGGTTCTTTTACAGATCAGAGAGAAAGAAGCAATGAGGAACTAAAGTCAGAAGGCAGAATAGAGAGGGAGATGCAGTGAGGAACTACAGTGAAAGGGTCTTCAGTCCTGTGAAACATCTCCAATGGGATGTCCAGCCTTCAGAAGGGGTGTGTTAATCTCTTCTATTCACAGGGCAGGGACAAACTATCTCTCCTTGAGCTGAACAAAGGCACTTTAGTTTTTAGTCAAGCAGTGGGGCAGGGTCCTCCAGGCAAGCCATGAGTATGATTGTAATAATAAAAGCAAGTCAAAGAAACAGTTTCCAACGTGGAGTCAGAACTGGCTTCCTCCCTGCAAAGTTAAAACTCCTCTGTGCGTCTATGCCCTTCCTTCACTTCATCTAGGTAAATGGAGAAATAATTGTAGGGATATTCTCTTAGGTAACTAAATAGACTAATTCTAGATCCCATTGATTTGGCCTCTACTACAATAGGGCACTTCTGCCGATCTTGAACTCTATTCTTGACCCACTGTTGCACTTAACTTTAATGGACTCACCAACACTCCTGGCTAATGCAAAGACTCAAACATCTGCATATAGTAATTTTGTGGGCTGCTAAATATTCAAACAGACCTCATGGTTTCTATCAAGGGAGAAGGCTTTTACGATTTTGTGCTATTAGCAAAACGTGCATTCTAAAAAATTGTCGTCAAAGAATAGGCCCACCTTCCTGCTATGATATAAGAGGGTTTCTAAGTGAGAAATCAGCTCATCCAATTATAAAAACCCTAAACACTAAAAACCTTTCAAGCATTCTAATCTTAGACTTTTTTGTCATGACTCCAAGATTTGGGGGGAAAAAAAAAACCTCAAAACGTTTGGGTTCTACTTTTAAGATATGGAAGGGTCCTTGAAGTACAAGAAAGGGAAGAAAATAAATACAAGGAAGACAAACCTGGTTAATTTTAATTAAAAAAAAAAATCTGCAGCGTCAGAACACCACCGTACAAAAAAGCTGCCACGTTAAGAAATTTCTTTCCAAGTTGAGTCCAACTTTTTTCTCAATATGTGACCATAGAGGAGGTGGAATGAGGAATTGGGTTTTAACTCCTCAACTTTCTGAAGTCACGGACCTCTCGTCAGCATGTGGCTCTGTGATGAACACTTGCTGTGAAGAACCAGAAATCAATGCAAAAGGAAACAATAATAATAAAAGGGACGCTTTCCACCATCAGAACAGGGAAAGGTGTGTGAGCTGGAAGAAAGTACAGTACTGAAGCCCATGACAAGTCATGATAAATGGGTCGTTATAAAATTCATGTTTAGGCAGCACCAGGCCGGGGATAATGCCATTCGTCATGGCAACACTCGGCCGCTAATGAGCCCTCATTGCATATTCATGTCCGTGGCGTTTCTTCTCTCCCTCCCACCCCGAACTAGTGCCTGGAAATATCTCCACCTCAAACTGCAGCTCAGGCCTTCTTCTTCTTCTTCTTTCTTTTTTTTTTTTTATTTGTTATGTTGCAGCAATTACACTGTAAAAGTGCTGCCCAAGATTGATTGCTCTGATCTGTAGTTCAATTGTAAATTAGAATACACATCCCCCCAGGGACACACGGCCCCTATTTGTGATTAAGAAAAAAGCCCCATAATAGACTAATAGCTAAAGTTCTCTCTCTTTTACTTTCAGGCAATTAGCTTGATGAAATGGCCTCTTTTTGTGTACCCTGGAAGTGTAAACCGATATCATAATGAAGTATATGATGTTTATTCTATTATTTTCACCTTCCCGGGTATGCAGGAATGCATAAGTAATGGCTGCTTTGTCTGGTGCATTTACTGATTCACAAGTGAACTATTTCTTAAAGATGCAGTGTGTGCGTTCTGAGGCTTGAGGTAAGCAACCCTTGACTTTGGGTTAACCTCCGAGGAAAGAACTCGACTAAAGAGGAGAAATTCCCAGGTAGTGATGAGGGCGGGACTCTGCTAGTCCAGCGCCATCTAACTGCCT